TGTTTCTGATTTGTTTGTTTACTGTTTGTTTTGTTTTAAATTTTTAGATTCGATGTGTAAGCGAAATCATATGGCATTTGTCTAGGTCCATCCATGTTGTTGCAAATGGTAAGGCTTCATTCTTTTTCACGGCTATGTAATATTCCATCACACGCATGTACTACATCTTCTTTATCCACTACCTACCAATGGACACCTAGGTGGCTTCCGTATCTTGGGTGTGTAGATACTGCTGCAATGGACATAGGAGTGCGTATATCTTTTTGAATTAACATTCTCATCACTTAGTCACACGGTAGTTCTTTTAATTTTCTGAGGAATCTCCATACTATTTTCCACAGTGGCTGCACCAGCCTGCATTCCCACCACAAGTGCATGAGGGTCCCCTTTTCTCCACACCCTCGCCAGCACTTGTTGCTTATTGATTAACTGATGACAGCCATTCTGACAGGTGTGAGGTGATATCTCACTGTGGTTTTAATTTGTATCTCTCTGATGATTAGTGATGTTGTGCATCTTTTCGTGTGTCTCTTGGCCATCTGTGTGTCCTCTTTGGAGAAATGTCTGTTTAGAAGTTCTGCCCATTTTTCTTTAGGAAATTCAGATAAAGGATGACAGGTAATTTTTCTAAATGCTTGTAAAACCTTGAAGAAAAGTATCAAAGACATTAAACTCAGATAGAATGTCCTGAGCTGGAACCCTGCGTGGCTGGGGCACAGGTGTGCGTGCAGAGCTGCGTTAGCCCGGCTGGCACACAATCAGAAGACCGATCATTCCCTCGAAGTGACCCCAGCATCTAAGCACCACCTTCCTCCCCGTGCAGGGCACACACAGTGCCCTGGGAAGCAGCCTAAATGTGGGCAAATCTGTGCCCCTCACTCAGGCCCTGTTTTCTTAGAAGAAACAGAATGTTCCAGGACACAGTGGTGCTCTTTTTTAAAAAAAAAGGAAGGGGGTGGTTGTGGTTTTGTTCTGTCATTCTGCACGTATCGGACCAGCACAGCGTCCCGGGTGCTCGGCGTCAGCGAGCCTTGAGTGCCCAGCTGCCCGTCGGGCAGGCTGCGCGGGTTCAGGAGCTGGTGGCTCCGGTGTGGCCCTTACCTGTGCCGGTCACTCGTCCACGGGCGGTGCCTCCCTGGCTCACGGCCCCACCCCAGCGAGGCTCTGCTCTCCCAGCACCACGGGGCGACACCCAGACGGGCACAGGAGCACGTGTCCTCTGAGCTGTACTTCAGCTGCGAGGACTGGGAGCCGGCCGCACTGGCCGGAAGTGGCTGCGCTCCAGGGGCCCTGGAGTCGCGGGTGGGGCGGGACGTCAGCAGTTCGGCGACTGTGCCCATTGAACCCACCGAGAATCAGGACCAGCCGCAGCTCTGGCCAGTGCGCACCGCGACCTTCGCCCGCTGCGCGTCTCACCCCGTTCGCGGACGCGAGAGGACACGGGGTTCAGGGTCCCGCCCTGGTGACGCTCGCTTTCCTCCCCCTTCACCCTCGAGGGTCTTCTTTAAACATGGGGCGCTTTCAGCGTGGTCAGTGCTCAGGAAGGTGTCACTAAACGGAATCAACGGGCAGGTGAACGCCGACCCCTTCCCTGCTCGTCCTTCACTGGAGGTCGGCGGGCAGCGTGGGCCAGGTCACAGGAGGCAGCTGGAGAAGACCCTCTACCCCCGCCCTGATGGAGGGGCTTGTGGCCGCTTGAGCCCACTACAGGGACAATTGGAGAGAATGGTGCCCGAGACGGCCGGAGGCGGACATGGCTGAGGAGAGAGACAGCTACGTGACGTCTGTGTCGTTCCTGACAGAGCCATCCGGTGGGGCCACCTTGCCAGCCGGACACGCCGTCACGTCTATTCCCGTCCTCATGGCACCTGGCCCTCCCACGCTCAGATGACTCGTCTTCGAAATGTTATTAAGAATCGGCAGGGGGCGTCTCCTGGGCCACAGAAAACACGCGCAGCGGTAACCAGCAGTGACTTAAAACCACCTCTGTGCGTCCACCTTGCGTGCGTCCTAGAAAGATGAACTGCGTCGTGATGTGCGAAGCCGTCACGCAGGGATGAGCAGCTCGCCTCACGCCTCAGGGAGACGGCCCGTCCTCCTGTAGGTGTGAGTCTCTGCGGTCATTTTCTCAGCAAGAACTGAGTGTCAACTCCGCGCAGAGTTTTCCTCGTGTCTTGGCAAGTTCGTCCTTAATGACTAAGCCGAGAGGAACTGTATCCTCGTGGGGGGACATTCAAGCAACAGAAGGGAAAAGAAGGTCCCTTTGAAAAGTCTTCCTTCTTCCACCACTTTGCACACTCGGGACGTATTCCACGCATCAGGTGTGTGAGAACCTACCCGCGGGCACAGCCGTCGTGAGACGTGTTGGTGCCGGGGAGCCCAGGCCACGGCAAGAGGCCGGGTGTGCACAGCCTTCACCGACCCAGGACGCGTCCTTCTGTCCTTCCGAACGTGCGGTCTGGGGCAGGGTCTGTGTCAACACTGACGAACACGTAGAAAGACGTTCATGTCAACAAAGTGCATTTCCAAGTTCCAGCAGCTCGGAGTCCCAGGCCGCCTGGGGCCCGGCCCTGTCGGGGAGGCGGATGCCAGGTCTCCCCTCGAAGCTGTGGGTATTGACCCAGAACATTGAGAAAGTCCTATGTCCCGGGCTTGCAGACACCGCTGAAGGTACCTACGGCGCTGATGGAACGCCGAGTGTGCGCCGTGCACACTGAATGAGCAGACGGGCTCCCTGTGCGCCCCCTCACAGAGGGAGAGACAGAAACATTGATGCGAGAGAACATCGACTGGCCGCCTCCTGCAGGCCCCCCACTGGGCATCGGGCCCACAACCTGGGCATGTGCCCTGACTGGGAATCGAACTGCGACCTTTTGGTGCAGGGTCGACACCCCACCACTGAGCCACACCACTGGGCTGTTTCTTTTTTTTTAACAGCACATTCATTTTTTTAATCTTCCAAACAGCTTCGACCCCAGCATCTCTGTGGCACCTTGTTGAGCAGCATCGGCATCTGGGAGAGGCACGGGGGCTTGTTCGCAGCATCAGCTCCCGGAGTTGACACACGTGGCAGGAGGCCGTCGGAACAGGAACAAGCCCAGGCCCGTGCCCTCCCCGTCTTCCTGGCTGGGCCCCACTTTGCTGAAAGGAAGTTTGCGTTGGCCTGATGCCCTCCCCGGGGGGCCCGCGAAGCCGACTGCCCGAACCTTTGGGAGCGGGAAGCCCACCCTGTTATCCTAGTGATTTCTGTTGCCTATGCCAATGTGCTAGACCCTCTCTGAGCATGTGACCTGGCTCGAGACGGGGAGACTCCTCGAAGGCCCAGTGGACCTCAGAGGACGGTCACGGTCCACCAGGCATGGCTGGCGCCACGGGACGTCCTTCTGCGTGGGCACCGGCCACAGCCCGGGGTCCTGTGCAGAGTGCGCAGAGGTGCCCGGAAGGCCGTGGGCACTTCTGCACAAATGGGCCACGGCTCTGACCGCCGTCGCTGCTAGGAAGCTGCCTGGGGCCCAGGACTGACAGGAAAGAGGGACCTATGGGCTGGTCACCAACCCTGGCTCAGCCAATGGAGCTGGTGACGGGTCAGCGATTTGTGGCTCAGGGCAGCGGTGACGGTGACGCAGGTGTTTCGTGAAAAAACAAAGACTCAGGCTCCTGTTGTGAAAGTCATGTGATCTGAGAATCTGGGGGCTGGGCCGCCCACATTGCCCCCCAGCAGCCCCAGGGAGACACCCCCTCCCCCGTGCCTGAGGAGCACCCGGGGCCGGGGCTCAGTGCAAGTGAGTCACAGGCAGAACATTCGTGTTGTAGACACACCGCGTTGTGACAACCACACTCACACGGCTCTCTGCAGGGTCCTCAGCGTGTCCCTGGGGCACCGCGATCCACCTCCCACATCACATTCCTCTTCATTAGCTTAACTCAGGAGAGCAAGAGAGGAAAATGCAGGTCTTATGGGTCATTTCACTGGTTTCTCTTCCTCAATACATACATGTTCCTCCTTCCCTCTGACCCCTGGCCGGAGGCTCGGCCTCTCCTGGCCTGTTCCCACCAGCACTTAGCCGCCTGGCGCACACCCCCCAGGGTCGTGTCGTCACCACCAGACGGAGCCACTGGGGCTCGGCCACTCGAGTGGGCGCCGGAGCGCAGAGCTGGGTTATAGGAAGGACACCAGGCCCTGGACGCAGCCGAGGTTCACGGTTCCAACAGCCGCGGCCACAGGGAGACCCCGGTCCTCACACTTACTTCCCTGGCTCAGAAGAGGAGACAAGGTCAGCTTGTAAAAGATGCTATTTTCATTTTCTGGGAGAAAGTCACCATTGCAGCTTGCAGAGTGGTGCAGGGGAGGCTGGTCTGCAGGGCAAATACGGGGGCGTCTCTGAGCACAGCTGACTGACGGCGACCGGCAAGGTTTCCGGGACCCCGATGTCAGGTCAGGCGACAGGTCCTTGGTTACCAGCCGCATCCCATCACAGGCAGCAACGGAGCCTGAGGTTAGGAAAACAAAGGTTTGGGAAGTAGAAATGATTGGTTTTGAATCTTCTTTGCAATTCTGAGATCATTTGATGAGCAGGAGAAAGAATTCTGTAAGAAATTCCTGTGCCTTTAGGAATTTTATTTAACTTTCATAATGGCCAAAGCCCTAAGACTAGTCTTCTTTTTTAACATGGATGTTTTATGGGAAGTAGATTTACTTTATTCACAGTACTTACTCCCAGCGACATCACCCGATCTGCGGAACCCCCGAGGCTGTGGGGGAGCTGGGCTGCTGACTAACCGGCCAATACGCCGGCTTCCTTTCCAAATAGTTGGGACATCCGAGACCTGCTCAGCACGGCGGCCCGAGGGAGCGGTCCTCCGGGTCCAGGGAGCCATTTGGAACCCGCCTCAGCCCGAACGCCAGCTTCTGGGTCCCTGTCCCCGCTGCAGGGACCAGGAGGGTGGGCTGAGCGCGTCTAAGTGCACGTTGCCCTGAGCGCGTGTTTGTTTTCTTCCAGATGCGAGCGCTGGCCGTCCTGGGGGCCACCCTGGTGGTGGCCTGCAGCCAGGTGTTCTTCCCCTTCATGAGGGGCAAGGGCCGCCTTTGGGGTGAGTGACAAGTAAAACGTGGCGTGGTCTTTGTCCCCGGCGAGGTCCCGGGTCCCAGTCCCGGAACAGAACGCCTGCTGGCGGCCGAGGCAGGGGAGACCCCGTGCTCTCTTTCGCTTCCCCAGGAAAAGAGCTGTCATTCTTGAGCTTAAAGAATGAAGACACCTCTTCCCGGGAAAGAACTGGTTTTCCTGTGGTCACACGACGGAGTGTGTCCATCTGTACTGGCTCAGGTGTCTGGGAAGTGTTTCTGGGGAGCAGCTGTCCACTCCCTTGCTGTGAACCCCGTTTCATTAGGAAACTGCTGGGTGTTTGGAATCAGGGTGTAGCAATGCCAGACTTGGTTACGAAAGCAGAAAATTGTGAACGTAAGAAACGTAAAATCCTGTGAAGAATTTTGGGAGTTTGAGAGAAGCAAACTCAAGGGGTTGAGGTGACGCCCCAGAGCAGGGCAGTTCCGCCCCTTATTTTATACGTTCCGACCAAGAGACAAGGCCTGAGTGGGTCAGGGGACCCCTGGCGGAGAGATCAGGGGGGCGGGAACGCAAAGCGGGGAACCTCTGGGTGAAAAGTAAAACGATAGACGTGCTTCTGTTACACAGGTGGGTTCGGGCAGTTCACAGTCAACAAGGACCCCGAGAACAACAACATGAGGGCATTTGTGGTTTCGCCCTGGCGCACAGGCTGTGCCCTGAGGGGGCTGGGAAAGGGGACAGTCCAAGGTCTGTTATCACAGATGCACGAAGACCACGGGCTCCATTAGGCGAAAGGGGACTTTGTCAGGAGATGCCGCCGGGACCTGACTGCCTGCCACAAGCTGCTTTTAGCTAAAAGTTTCCATTTCAGGCCTCCCTTGTGGTTACTTCAGGCCTCTGAGTTTGCAAGGCCGCCAGGCCGGCCTCCCTGAGCTGTCAGGTGAGCCTGTGGCCCCTTTTCATCCACAACATTCACATAGAAACTCTGCTAAAAATAAATAAGAAACAAGAAAAAAGCCCCAAACCCCAGAAGGGACTGCCGTCCGCAGTGTCGGGGCCTGTCTGGTGGGCGCTTGAGCTGCCAGACTCTGGGGCAGTCGCTTCTCCCTGGGACAGACGCTCAGGCCCCCCCCCCCCAATCCATGCATCCTGGGCCAGGCCCCCCCAGGAATCACAGGCCTCCCCAGGAACCACAGGTCCCCCCGGGGACCACAGGCCTCCACAGGAACCACAGGCCTCCCCGGGGACCACAGGCCTCCCAAGGATCACAGGTCCCCCCGGGAACCACAGGCCTCCACAGGAACCACAGGCCTCCCAAGGACCACAGGTCCCCCCGGGAACCACAGATCCCCCCGGGAACCACAGGCCTCCCAAGGATCACAGGTCCCCCCGGGAACCACAGGCCTCCACAGGAACCACAGGCCTCCCAAGGACCACAGGTCCCCCCGGGAACCACAGGTCCCCCCGGGAACCACAGGCCTCCCCGGGGACCACAGGTTCCCCTGGGGACCACAGGCCTCCCCAAGGATCACAGGTCCCCCCGGGAACCACAGGCCCCCCTGGGGATCACAGGTTCCCCCGGGGACCACAGGTCCCCCCGGGAACCACAGGTCCCCCCGGGGACCACAGGCCTCCCCAAGGATCACAGGTCCCCCCGGGAACCACAGGCCTCCCCGGGAACCACAGGCCTCCCCGGGGACCACAGGCCCCCCCGGGGACCACAGGCCTCCCCAAGGATCACAGGTCCCCCTGGGAACCACAGGCCTCCCCGGGGACCACAGGTCCCCCCGGGAACCACAGGCCTCCCCAAGGATCACAGGTCCCCCAGGGAACCACAGGCCTCCCAAGGATCACAGGTCCCCCCGGGAACCACAGGCCTCCCCAAGGATCACAGGTCCCCCAGGGAACCACAGGCCTCCCAAGGATCACAGGTCCCCCCGGGAACCACAGGCCTCCCCAGGGAACCACAGGTCTCCCCAGGAGCTGGCGGATGCCGAGTCCCCGCAGCCCACGCCCACCCCAGGCTGTGCCTCCTGCACCAGCCACGCGTTTGCCGATGGTACTGAATGTTGTGGCCACGTGATCAGACTCCCGCACGCCTGAGGAAGGGCACTCCATCCAAGGTTGTCAGAGGTCGGAAGCAAGCGCTGAGGTCAGACCAGGCAGTGAGCTCTGGTCCTGCCGGTTACTAACTGGGGCACACTGGGTTCCTTCCCTCTGCTCACCTGTGAGCTGACACTGTCCCCCAGTCCTGACTGGTGAGCATCTGTGAGGTGCGCCACCTGGAGCACAGGTGCCCCCTGCTGGCCGGTGCCAGGAGTTCATGTGTTCAAGCATCAGGAAAAGGGGGCCCTGTCTCCCCTAATACATCAATCATTCTGGTACCTGGCACGTGGCAGATGTTCAGCCAATGTTCTGTGAGTTGATTGATTCGTCTTTATATTGTTGTTCATTAAGCTCCTAGTTCTATAAACCATAGTAACAAAAGCCAAAGGTTATGTAACTAGTTACAAGATCATAATGTAGCCCTGGCCAGTTTGGCTCAGCGGTTAGAACGTCGGCCCGCGGACCAGAGAGACCCGGGTTCAGTTCCTGCTAAGGGCACGTACCTCGGTTGCAGTTTGTCCCCGGCCCCAGTTGGGGTTGTGTGGGTGGCAACCACTCGATGTGTCTGTCTCACATCGATGTTTCTCTCTCTCTCCTCCCCCCTCTCTCCCTCTCCCTCTATGAATGCAAAAAGTGTCCTCAGGTGAGGATTTTAAAAAATCATAATGCAGCAAGTGATTTCACAGAATAAAAATGATCTGTGCACGACTTTTTCTTTTTGTCATTTTAGAAGTCAAATTGTTTTTTTAAAACCAGGAAATGTGGTATTTAGAGCTTTGCTAAAGCAATTTTCTATTATTCCGCCATCTCTGAGAGGTGTGACTATTTTTCGCTTGAACTTTTAGCAAACACATAATCAGTGCGGCACAGCGCCCCGTAAAAAGGCCACGCTCCGCAGTCTGCTTTGCTATTAACGGGGATGCTTTGAAGCTGGCTTATCACTTGTATACTTTGTAAATTACTTACTTAGAAAGTTTATCTCACAGTGTTTCCGTTTCATGTTCTTTGATATGAGAGGTTTTTTTTCCAGTTGACAACAAGCCAACAATAACTTTGAAACAAAATAGTAACTCACTGGTAAACTTTCTTTGAAACATAATTTCTATTGGTCACATTTGCCAGAGTGTAACCCGTGTACCACTTGATCTGTGTGTGAGTTTGGGGTGCAGCAGGGGTGCGCACAGACTCGGCGAGGTGAACAGCGGGTCGCTCCCCGAGCATATCCAGAACAGCGGGGCGCGGGGCACGGGCACGGGACCTCTGCTGGACCTCGATGGCCCGCAGGCGGAGGTGTGCCTTGGGCTGCCGCCCACCTCACAGCTCAGGAAACAGAACGAGGTCAGAGTGACCCTCAGCTCCCGGGCTGCACCCCCCCCCCCCCCCGTCAGCCTGGCTGACACACGGAAGAGCCCGTGAGACCTGGACTCCTGCTGCGGTTCCACCGTCCGTGTGAGGGTTTCGGGGACCAGCCTGGCGTCTGGGCAGCACGGGAGCTGGTCCAGGGGGACCCCAGGAGGCCCCGGCTCACAGAGAAGCAAACTCCCCTCCCCCTGGAAATTCCAGAACGAAAGTGGCTCCACAGAGGAAACAGTTTGTTTTGTCAGAAGTGTGTGTGTGACTGGGGGTGTCTAAGAAGTCAGGGACCACGTCCCTTTCCAAGACCCCGAAGAGTTTCCCGTGGAAACCGCATCCTCACACGCAGACGGGGCGCAACGTCCAGATTTATGTGCCGTTACCTTCACGGCGGATGTCGCCACACGTCGGAGCTGTTAATGGAAAGCAAGGTGCAGACGGACAGCAGGCGCGGAGGCCGGACCTGCAGACAGGGAGCCGCCGGCAGCGCCCGGTGAGCGCCTTTCAGGGGAAAAGCTGGCAAATCCATTCCAGCTCCTTGGACTTTGCACCCGTCACCTGCAACGGCGCGTTCTGACCTAGAAGTGGGATTGTGACCTGTTGTCGCCTCCGGCTGGGCTGCTAGAGGGGAACCGCACAAGGGACACACAGCCGGAGACAGAGGAGGGGCCGGGTCTGTCCTGGCCTGACCCATTCCCGAGCCTCCTGCCCCGCAGACAGGGCGGCAGGATGTCGGCACTGAATCTGGAAGCCAAACGCCGCACCGGGGCTCTCGCCGAGCACCCCAAGGACTAAACTGTGGAACAAAGTGGGAGCCTGTGGCCGGAGATGCTGCACATTCGAGTCTCTGTCTTCCGTTAAAAGCACCAGTTAAAACAGGAAATAGTACCATGAATTTTCTATATTATTGGTTTAGGGAACAAAAATATTCAGAAAAAAGCTACAGAGAATCCTTAGCGGTGGTTCGGGCAAGTGGGAGAACAGGGCCCAGCCCACTGAACCCCCGAGGGAACAGCGCGGGGCCCCACCCTCGGCCCTGCCACCTGCAGCTCTGCGCGCGGGAGCTGGCACCGGCTAAGACGGGAAACGGGGTGCAGGGTGCAGGTCTCCCGGGGCTGGAGCCGCGCAGGTCCAGCTGGGCCCCGCGGAGGGGCTGGCAGGAGGGGTGATGAGCCGCTGGTCGCTCCTCGGTTCTGAGTGTGACGATCGGTCCTAGGCCAGTCCCACGACCCTCAGGGGCCCAGTGCGTCAGAGGAGAGCCAGCTCCTGATGGACACCGCGACCCACAGCCCCGCGGACAGGTACCGCTCCGGGGCAGACGTGGCGGGGGACAGCAGGTGGACGTAGCGGAGTGGACGGCAGGGATGTGGGAGGGGGAGCAGTGGGATGGGGGACAGTGGGTGGACGCGGGGGGCGGACGGCAGGGGACAATGGGTGGACACGGGGGGCGGACGGCAGGGGACAGCGGGTGGACGCGGGGGGCAGCGGTGCGGACTTGGGAGGGGGGCGGCGGGGTGGCCGTCAGGGCATGCACAGTCCCAAAGCCTGTCCCCTTCGGTACAGTCACCTGTCAGCAGAACCCTTCAGAAATGGCACCTCCCACGGGGTTGGCTGGGACGGGGCACGCTCTCCGCAACCCCACTTTGCTGGCTGGAACCCAAAGGTTTAGCTGGACTTTTAGGAGAAGGTTTCTCTTACCCAGTTGGGGTGGGAGCCATGGGGTTTGGATGGAGACTTGTGACAGGCAGCTCTTGGCCGAATATTCTGTTCACCGTCCAGCGCAGACCTGTTACCCGTAAGTATATCCTGGCCCAGAGGTCGGGGCATGTGCAACCACCTGGACGCCCCACAGTGCCCGGGACCTGGAGGCACCATACATGTCCGCTTGTTCGACTCGTATGAGTCACCAAGTCACCATGAGAGAATAACAGAATCCATGTCCCCCCTCCGTTCAGCAGACAACTCAAGAAAAGAGAGATCATTTCTCCTTCTCAACGTCTGGCTTCTCCCAAACCCCCTGAGCCAACCAGCGGAGCTAGTTCCCGAGTGGCAGAGATCACAGAGACTCCAGTCCAGGCAACAAAAAGAGGGGTGTCCCTGAGACAGTCCCAGCCACTAACAGGTGAGCTTGGATGGAGTCTCTGTCCCACAAGAGTAGAGCAGGGGGTGGAGCAGAGGGTGGAGCAGGGGGTGGAGCAGAGGGTGGAGCAGGGGTGGAGCAGAGGGTGGGGCAGGGGTGGGGCAGAGGGTGGAGCAGGGGTGGGGCAGAGGGTGGAGCAGGGGGTGGAGCAGGGGTGGAGCAGGGGTGGGGCAGAGGGTGGAGCAGGGGGTGGAGCAGGGGTGGAGCAGGGGTGGGGCAGAGGGTGGAGCAGGGGGTGGAGCAGAGGGTGGAGCAGGGGTAGGGTAGAGGGTGGGGCAGGGGTGGAGCAGAGGGTGGAGCAGGGGGCGGGGCAGGGGTGGAGCAGAGGGTGGGGCAGAGGATGGGGCAGGGGGTGGAGCAGGGGGTGGAGCGGGGGTGGAGCAGGGGTGGGGCAGAGGGTGGAGCAGGGGGTGGAGCGGGGGTGGAGCAGGGGTGGGGCAGAGGGTGGGGCAGGGGGTGGAGCAGAGGGTGGGGCAGGGGGTGGGGCAGGGGGGTGGAGCAGGGACCAGTGGGGCCGTCACAGGGAGTCTCTTTGTCACCAGGAGGGTGTGACTCCCACTCACAGGACAGCAGCAACGTTGGCACATGCTTTTGTTAGTCTGTGAATTAACTGTTTCTCTACTCAAATTGGATTTGGAGAAATTGCTCAAAGTTAATTTGTTGAAAAAAATAGCAATAGAATTAGCAAAAACAATAAACCATCAAAAAACAAAAGAGACCGTTTTCTGGGCCCTGATTGGAACATTCCCAGGATGGGAACTGAAACCCAGCAGGAAGGACGTGGGGCTTTGGTAGATGCAAGGCAGGCGGGTGTGGGGGAGGCAGTGCCGCTGCTCACTGTCCTCAGCGGTGCAGGTGACAAGTGACAGGAGACGCGCCCAGTGAGGCCGTGGTCACCCCGAGACTGGCTTACCCGGGGGCTCAGGCTCTTAGAACTGCTTTCCCGAAAGATCTCAAGGAAAATACATCGGGAAAGCCCGTGTTCTGAGCCCTGGGGTGGAACGAGAGGGCCGTTCGGTGGGAACCAGCCCGCGAGAAGCGTCTTTTTCAGGGGACGTGTCCTCACCGAGGGTTTTGCTCCGACGTGTTTCCCCAGACGCCCCGTCGGAAGAGCTGCTGAGCACCAGCACGAGGGTGTCCGGGTGCCTGGCCCCTGCGTCGCCCCCGCAGTGCCCAAACACCTGCCTGGCAGACAGGTACAGGCTCATCACGGGGGCCTGCAGCAACAGGTATTGTCCCCGCTCCCGAATCTCCTGCCGGTGGGTCTGAACAGGACCAGGTGTGGGGCTCTTCCCAGGGTCTGCGCTCTCTCCGGTCCCTCTGACGCCCCGTCCTGGCCGCTCCCCCGGCTGCGCGTGTTGTCTGGGCACCTGTCTGGCTGGCACCACCTTCCAGCAGCCTGAGCCAAACGGCAGGGCCTGGGGGCCAGCTCCATGGGGGGGGGGCGGGGAAGGAGCCACACACTGAGCAGGGTGCCAGGGGACAGGGGATGTGGAGGAGACGCAGCCAGGCAGGGTGATAGAAGGGACGGGGCCTTGGGGACTTGGTGCCCCGGACAGGCCCCCACGCTGTGTTAACATATTATATTTTATATGTTTTTAATTATTCTTTAAAAAAAATTTTTTTTTCTTTATTGATTTCAGAGAGAGAGGAAGGGAGAGAGAGAGAGAGATGGAAACATCGATGAGAAGGAACATTGATTGGCTGCCTCCTGCATGCCCCCCACTGGGAATGGGGCCAACCACCTGGACATGTGCCCTGACCAGGAATCGAACCAGCAACCCCCCGGGTACATGGGTTGACGCTCGACTACTGAGCCACACCAGCCAGACCATATTTATATTATAATTTATATGTTGAAATTTTATATTTACAAACATGCCAGGGAGCATAAGGGCCTCAGTGTTCATTGTTTAGTTCAAGATTGAGACTGTTTTTCACAATTGTTATTAGGACATCACAGATCGGACCAGCACGAATCTATTACGGATGTTTGTAATTCTTTTTTCTTCTTTTTTTTTTTTAATCCTCACCCAAGGACATTTTTCCATTTTTTGTTCAGATAGAATGGGAGGGGGAGAGAGGAAGAGAGAGAGAGAGAGAAACATCGACGTGAAAGGGACACATCAAGTGGCTGCCACCCGCATGACCCAACCAGGGCCGGGGACAAACTGCAACCGAGGTACATGCCCTTAGCGGGAACCGAACCCAGGTCTCTCTGTACCGCAGGCTGACGCTCTAACCTCTGAGCCAAACCGGCCAGGGCAGATGTTTGTAATTCTTAAACAGAGACGGACATGTTTGTTGAGATAAACTTACTAAGGAAACGGACGCAACGTGCCCGTTAGCTGGCGGATCTGCTGGGTGAACACCGCCCACGAGCCGAGAGGCACGCAGCCTGGTCACCTGGTCCCGTGGCCACTGGCTGTCCCCGCAGAACTGTTCCTTGGGAGCCGGGTTCACTCACCCTCAGGTGCTCCAGCTCGGATCAGGAGTTAGCCAGCCCCCGCGCCCCAGAGAACGCGGCAGCAGCCCGCAGGTGGCCCGGACGGAGGTGGAGCGACAGCCCGGCCCGCCGTGCCTCTGGGAAGTGCAAACTCAGAGTTGTCACCACACCACTTCTACATTCTGCCAGCGAACAGCGTGCCGCCGGCCTGTGGCCCTCTTTTTAGCGAACACTGGACAGCGCCTGACGGATCCAAGGATCCGTGACCGATCGTTGAACTTTCACCTTCTTCGTTTCCGGAAGGTTTTCCAGAGGCCTCACACCCCTCGCGCCCCCTCGCGCCCCCTCGGGCCCCCCGTGCCTCTCACTCAGAGGCCCCTTTTAAAGCCGACAGCTCGGAAGTGGTTGGTTAGATCAAGATTTTACTGAACGCGACTTCACCACCTCGTGCATTTACCCCTTTTGCCAAAATGCGCTTTGACCGCAGAACGAGACTCCTGTGTGTCTCCGTGCAGCCAACCGTCAAATCCAGCAGCCAAGAAGGACTCGTTTCTCCCTGCCTCCTCCTCCCTCACCGACCCCTCACCTGTCACCTTCGTTTCCACAGAGACCATCCCAGGTGGGGCGCCTCCGACATGCCGCTGGCCAGGTGGCTGCCGCCCGCCTATGAAGACGGCATCAGTGAGCCCCGAGGCTGGAACCCCCACTTCTTGTACAACGGGGTTCTCCTGCCCCCGGTTGGTACCCCAGAACACTGCGTGACCTGTGGTAGGTGTAGGTTCCCATGACCTGTCCCCGGCCCCGGTGGACGGGGTGGGCTCCCTGCAGGTGCCCGTGTGGCCCCCCAACCCCCGCCCCAGCCAGGGGCTCCGTCTCATGCTGAGGGACTGAGGCTGTGAAGACGAAAGTCCCAGCGAGTGAGGGGGAGGGCGCAGGTCTACTCAGGTCCGTCTGTCTCCTGCTCGTGCTTCAACCAGCTCCTTGCTGGACGAGGCTGGTGCAGCACGTCCAGCCACGAGGCTCATTCACGCAGCGATGACCACGGACTCTGCTCTCAGAAGCACGTGGTCTGCTGAGCCCAGACCCCGGGCACTGGTCCCGCTTCTCACCCAGGTCCGGGAGGTGACACAGCAAGTCATTCACGTTCCCAACGAGGCGGTGACCGAGGACGAGCAGTACTCGGACCTGCTGATGGCCTGGGGGCAGTACATCAGCCACGACATCGCGTTCACGCCACAGAGCACCGGCCAGGCCACGCCGGGGGACGGAGCCGACGGCCCGCTGACCTGCGAGAACCGGGGCGCGAGTTTTCCCATCCAGGTGGCGTGTTACCGCTTCTGTTCATCGTGAAACTCGCAGATGCCATTTCGAACATCGTCCGTTCCCGGGGCAGCGGCGCGAAGGGCGGATGCGTGTGTCTGAGTGCGTGACGTTTCCTTACCTGTGTGCATGTCTGCACCTACGTCCGTGTGTCCGTCATGCATCGTCCTGAACGCGCTCCTCCACTGTGTGCACGCCGCTGAGCGACCGGCAGGGCTGTGGGGGCGCCTCGGAGCCCTGTGCCCACGGCGACCCGGCAACAGTTCGCGGGTGCTCAGCTCCGCTGTGGACTGAGCCTCACGGGAGCCGGCGGCGTGGGGACCTGACCAGGCACCCGTGCGGAGCGGCACCCACGCTGCTGCGAATTGTTTCGTTAACAGTGCTCGGTTTCCCCTCTTACTGGGAGGGTTTCAGCTACTTCCCTTCAAACCTGCCACAGGGCTCCCCGAAAAGGAAGGCCTGAGGAAACCGGCTGACCCCCCAAAAGGGCTGGTGGGTGACCCAGGCCTCTGCCGAGGAGGCCCCAACAGGGGAGTCACTCAACAAAACACCCCAAAAGGGAATATGGGGGGGCAATGAGCGGCATTACTGCCGTAGTACCCTGGACAGGAGGGGAGGGTCGGCAGGCCGGGGGTTCCTCATGTCTGTAAAGAGGGTGCTGAGAACCCAAGGTGACCTGAACCCCCTTTCCAGCAGCTCCCTGAGAACGCCTCCCAGACCAAGGGCACCCCCTGCCTGCCCTTCTTCCGGTCGTCTGCCGCCTGCGGCCCCGGGGCCCAAGGCGCCTGGTTTGGCAACCTGTCCACGGTGAGCCCGCGGCAGCAGATGAACGGGCTGACCTCGTTCCTGGACGCGTCCACGGTGTACGGCAGCTCCCCGGCCCTGGAGGAGCAGCTGCGGAACTGGACCAGCGCGGAGGGGCTGCTCCGCGTCAACGCGCACCACCAGGATGCCGGCCGAGCCTACCTGCCCTTCACCCGGCCACCCACGCCCCCGGCCTGCGCCCCCGAGCCCGGCGCCCGGGGCCCCGCCCCCTGCTTCCTGGCTGGGGACAGCCGCGCCAGCGAGGTGCCCGCCCTGACGGCCCTGCACACGCTGTGGCTGCGTGAGCACAACCGCCTGGCCGCCGCGCTCAAGGCCCTCAACCCACACTGGAGCGCGGACACCACCTACCAGGAGGCGCGCAAGGTGGTGGGCGCCCTGCACCAGGTGTGGGCAGGGCCGCAGTGCCCTGAGCTCTCTCTGTCTGGGGCGGGTGGTGACGAATCTCGGTCTCTGTCAGAACGCTGATCCCTGACGCCGTCCAGATGGGACCTGATCCTAATCCCTGTCCCTCCTTCTAACCCGGGCACGGAGCTGCCCACCTGTGTCAGCCTGCGGGATGAGCCTCCTGCTCTGTGTACAACCAGGGAGGCAGTTACGTGTCTGACGTGTAAACCCTGTGCATTTCCTGTCCCCCCAAAGACTCCATGGGAGGGCCCCACAGAGGGGGAGGGCTGGGGGGCAGGGCTAGGCGGCGGGTCCGGACTCTGGGTCTGAGTGGAGCCTTCGGTGCTCGGACTCCTCAATGCGACCAGGTTGCCGCAAGGCTCAGGAGTTGGTGCTGTGCGCCAGGTGACGCGGGCCCGAGGCACAGGCCTGGACAGAACTCTTTTCTCCCGTGGAAGGAGCCCAGTGGCAGCAGCCCCCCGGCCAGTCCTCAGAACTGTGGCCCCAGCTCGGCTGGCCCGCCCTGCGCTGTCCTGCCCCAAGGGTGTTGGAGGCGTCTCTGACGTGCCCACCAGCCCGTCCATGGGGAGCTCAGACTTGGTGTGGGGTTGGCGGTGCTGTACCTGCTCACCTGTGCCCTTACCTGGAAGGCGTGGCCCCCGGGACACCTCTGAACCCCAGGCTTGCAGGAGACCCTCCTCCCCGACCTGAGTCAGCCGCCCTGCTCAGAGGCTTGTACGTCTCCTTTCTCCTAGATCATCACCTTGCGGGATTACGTCCCCAAAATCCTGGGCCCCGAGGCCCTCAGGCAGCACGTGGGCCCCTACCAGGGCTATGACCCCACCGTGGACCCCACGGCGTCCAACGTGTTCTCCACGGCCGCCTTCCGCTTCGGCCACACCACGATCCACCCCCTGGTGCGGCGGCTGGACGCTGGCTTCCGGGATCACCTGCCGCCCCTGCTGCTGCGCGACGCCTTCTTCCGCCCCTGGCGGGTCCTCAAGGAAGGTGCGCCCCCCAGACCCCGGCTTGGAGACGCAGCACCACCGCCCCTGAGGGCCGGCGCGCCCTGTCACGTGGGCAGTTCCAGGGTCCCACCCAGTCATCAGTGTTTGTGGAGAGAACACATGTGCTCAGAGTCTCTCGAAGGCTAAACTGTTCACCACAAACACGGCCCAGGTCTTGAAGTTCAGAACCCACAGGTGGCAGAGTCCCGGGCCCGGTGGCCTCTCCACCTGTTTAAAAAACATTGAGTAGGGCCCTGGCCAGTGTTGCTCAGTGGTTAGAGTGTTGGCCCACGGACCAAGGAGTCAGGGGTTCGATTCCGGTCAAGGGCTTGTGCCTCAGTGGTGGTTCGTCCCCGGCCCTGAATGGGGTCATGCGGGAGGCAGCCGGTCAATGTGTTTCCGTCACGTCGATGTTTCTCTCTCTCCTATTTGAACAAAAATGGAAAAACATCCTCGGGTGAGGGTTAAAAAAGAATGAGCGAAGTTTGCAGTCTGAGCTGTTACTGTTTCTGCAGAACCGGGAGACTTGGGTCACCTTCTCCGGCCTACTTTGCAGGTGGTTTGGACCCCCTGGTGCGGGGCCTCCTGGCCAGACCAGCCAAGCTGCAGGCGCCGGGGCAGCTGATGAGCGAGGAGCTGACGGAGAAGCTCGTGGTGCTGTCCCCCGCGGGAGCCTTCGACCTGGCATCCCTGAACCTGCAGCGGGGCCGGGACCACGGCCTGCCAGGTCAGCCACCGTCCTGCCCCGCACGCGCTGTCCGGGTCCTGGTCCAGGGGAGCCACCAGTGAGAGGCCTGCTCGGACCGGTGTAGCCATTGACGTCCCTGCCGTGTGCGTGTGTGTCCGTGTGTGCGTGCGTGAGTGCATGTGCGCTGCTGTGTGAGTGTGCATGTGCGCGCGCATATGTGCATGAATGTGTGTGCGCACGTTTGCATGTGCATGCACGTATGTCCACGTGTGCATGTGTGTGTGTGTGCGTGCGTGAGCGCGTGCCCGCGGTGGCTCTGTCCCTGTCCCTGTGGAATAGGACGGACTGAGCAGGACAGGTGGGGCCCTGTGCCAGCTGCTCGGAGACAAGCTGTGTGGGGGCTGGGCACTGACACCGTCCCCCTGGGTGTCGACGCCGTGCTGTGCACCCTCACAGCTCATGAGCAGACTCTGCAGTGAGACCCTGAGTCTGGACACTCCAGCCCATCCACACGGCCAGACCCTGCGGACAGGAGGCTGAGTGTGGACGCGGTGTCAGTGGGGGGCTGGGGGGCACCCAGACCCGGTGAGAGCCACGGCCGCGCGCCCTGCGCAGGTTACAACGCCTGGAGGGAGTTCTGCGGCTTACCCAGGCTGCGCACCCGGGCCGACCTGAGCAGGGTCATCGCCAATGGAAGTGTCGCCGACCGAATAATGGACCTGTACAAGCACCCAGATAACGTCGACGTCTGGCTGGGCGGCTCAGTGGAAGACTTCCTGCCGCACGCTCGAACGGGCCCCCTGTTTGCCTGCATCATCGGGAGACAGATGAAGGCCCTGCGGGACGGGGACCGGTAGGTGGCGGCAGCCTGTCACGTGTCGGTCCGCACAGGCGCCGGTGTCCCAGGCGGCTCACGGGGAGCCAGGTCTGGGGCCCAGCTCGGGCACCACAGCTCAGCAGGCGTGTGGCCCTGGGCAGGTCAGTTCTCACCCGTGACCCTGGCACCTGCAGAGCAGGGTAAGCACGAGGCGCATCCTTTCTGAGCCCCTCACCCTCTCTCGCCGGCGTTTCCACACCCGTGACCACGCGGACCAGCAGGCACTGCGTGAAGAGCACACTGTACCTCAGACAACCCTGGAACACCTCCGTCCTAGACCCTGACCCTCCGCAGACCCTGCAGAGGTGGATGCCGTCTGGGGCCCAGGCTGGGGCACGGCTGCAACCCCTCTGTCCTCTCAGCCCTTGGCCTCCTGCATGACCAGGGGGCACCCAGGGGGTCAGAGCAGCAGCTCCCTGCCCCTCCCCATCCGTGCGTCTTCAGGGTGCAGCTCACATGACTCAGGAGTTGGTGGACAATTTTGACCACAGTGCACAGAGGTTTTCCTTCTTGTTTAACTATCCCTCCATGTCAGGTCTGCCCTTCGTCGTGCCTGTGCCTAAGCCGGATGGTTTTTAAGAACATTGATGTCCTCTCGGGAGAGCACCTTAGCCCCCCCAAGCCCCCCACCCCAGACGAGTTCAACGTCAGTTTCTGAGGTGCTGCATTTCAAGCAGTTAGGGATTCTTGGGGAGACATGATGGATGCCGCCTCACTCAGACTGTGCCGTCGCCAGCCTGTGGGCTCCGGGGATGGGGAGGCACGGCCGCGGGGGGCAGGGCCCTGCACACTGCTTCTCCTGCACAGGTTCTGGTGGGAGCACAGCGGGGTGTTCACGGAGGTGCAGAGGCGGGAGCTGGAGCGGCACTCCCTGTCTCGGGTCATCTGCGACAACACCGGCCTCCCTCGTGTGCCTGCCGACACCTTTCAGGTGGCCAGGTTCCCCCAGGACTTCGAGCCCTGTGAGGTCATCCCCGGCCTGAGCCTGGAAGCATGGAGGGAGGCGGCTCCCCCAGGTAACTCTGTGTAGCGATGGGGGTTCAGCGGACGAACGATTTGTAACCTTGTGATATGCATTCTTGCAACCTGGCCAGCCTAGGGTGGAAGTGTGTGTGGACAGGTTTGACTGGAAGGCTGGAAGACCGCCCCATTGATTCTGAATGTGTCGTTTGCATGTGAATAGAAAAGGTTTGCATGACAAAATGTTGGAAGACCACCCTGTGAGGATAATGGGCTGTAGGCCCAGGCTTGGCTGGGTTTGTTATTTTTTAGCTTGGATGTCTCTTTCTGCTTTAAAAAGTGAGAGACAAGTCTGGGCTGTATGGTTTGCAGAGATGCCATCTCAAGGAGATAATTTGCATAAATCCACATGTAACTTGGGGAACCAGTCTGCAAATAAATCGGCCTGCATCCAGAGATCCGGAGCATTTGCTCCCTCACAGAGCTCCCTCTCACTCCCACCAGCGTGTGTTTACAGTTCATTGCGTTGCACCGACCCCCAGCCGGCCGAGAGAGATGGCAGCTGTGGGCCTCTCGCTGCCTTGTGTTCACTGCCAGGCTCCGCTGTGGAAGCTTCTCTAGACTGGCAGGGGGCTGAGTCCTCAGCGGCAGCCTCCGTGGGGGAGCACCTGCTCCCTGCCAGGCCCCTGTAAGGAGATGCTGTCCTGTGTGGCTGGGTCAGTGACAAGGGGTCAGTCAGTCACGATTTCAACCTCAGGAGTGACAGCTCGGGGCTCAGCCTTGGTTTCAGGGCCCATCCTGTGCTCCAGGGTTTGGGGGGCACCTGACCTCTACCCGCCACGTTCTAGTGGTGCCCACCCAGCTGTGACAAGCAGAGGTGACAACAGAGTTGGGGATGTCCCTGCAGGAGGGCGCAGTCGCCCCTGGATGAGAAGCAGTAGCCCGGATAACACATCTTTGAGATCAAACTGAGTGACCAGCACTTCATTACAGAAACTAAAGCTCTGGGACAGGGTCAGACGCTCCAGGAACCTGAGCGTCATTCAGGGCTCAGTTGAGCAAAGCCAAGGTTCTGAATGTGACGTGACGCTCACCGAGTTCCTTCTAGCACACGGCAGGGCTGAGATTGGCGGGTCCTCGACCCCCATTTCTGTGCCTCACACTGACGCATCAGCTCGCTCACACCTGCTTCACGCAGCTGCCGCGGCCTCCTGTCACTGTGGCGACGAGCTGACGCTGCAGTCACTGCTGGGTCCTGCGTGACCGGCACTCCTCCAAGGGCCGGGACCATTTGTAAGAACAGGTGTGCACACACACACATAAATACATACACACATGCACATACATACACATGTGCACACACACATACACATACACATACATTCACACGTGCACACACAGACAGACACACATAGACACACATGCACACACATACAATCACACACAGACATGCATACATACACACAAACACAGACACACACGTACATACACACATACAAACACACACATAGACACACACACAGCCCTCGGCAGCACTCACACTCTGTCGCTGGATGAGATCGACAAGTGATAGTGTGAGCGGCATGTTCGTGCCCCACGGGCCACGGGGAGAACCACAGCGGAAGGGCCCCGGGCAGAGGTGGGGTGGGGACGAGAGAGTGGAGACACGGAAAGGTGGCGGGTTTCCTGTCAGAGGGAGGAGCCCCTGCCACCTGAGAGGCCACGCCGGGCCTGGGTGATCACGGGCCCCAGGAGCCTGATCCGAGAGCCGAGAGGCAGGTGAGGAGACCGGACTGGAAGTAATGGGCCCAGTCCCACCAGCTCGGCCCCGTGAGATGCGGTTCTGTGGTTCTGAGCGAGACACCACGGGGCCGGCTCCCGGTGGGGGACACCTCGGCCCGGCTGGGGACATGTGGTGGGGGCAGTGCGGACGCCGGAAGACCCTGGAGAGGCTGCGGAGCTGTCCCTGGAGGAGGCGAAGTGGCCCAGCCCCAGGAAGTGGCAGTTAGGCTGTCAGGGGTTTGAGGACAGACCTGTCCTGACGACAGAGCCTGTCATTTCCCGATGGGTTCCCTGGGCTGATGGAGGAGGGGCTGGGGAGCTGGCTGGGTCCCTGAGGGTGTGGCTTGGACGAGGTCGGGCGGGGCCACCTCCTGGAGCTCAGCTGCAGGTGAGGGAAGGCGGTGGGCACAGAGAGGAAATCCAGGAAGGGTGTAAATCTGGGGTTCCCTGTACCTGCCTTCTGTGGGGACTGTGTTTAATGCTGAGAGGCCAGATGACAACCAGGCGCAGTCTGGAAAGGACACGTCCTCTCCTGGAGGTCAGCGCAGGTGGACAGTGAGTAGGGCGGGTGCTGGGACCGGAGGCTCCTGGGACCCGCCAGACAGGCCCTCGCGGTCACGGCCACCACCTGTGCTGCGGTGGCCGGGGATGGTGGGCCGGAACCGACCACGGCCTTTGACTCGAGAGCTGGCCGCCGGCCTTGAGAGCGCCTGGTCGGAGTGGGGAGCAGAGCTGGCCACAGGTGACCGCGGACACATGGGGGGCACAGAGGGAGGCCAGCACGGGCGGCGGGGGGTGATGCCGGGGAGGGGCTGCTCGGGCCAGTGCCCAGGAGAACGGTAGGCGCCACGTGAAGTCCTGCAAGGGCGATGGGGTGGGGCGTGTGGTCGGGAGGTGACAGAGGAGACCACCTGACTGCGCTGACCTGTCAACCTGCCCAGGTGGCGCGTGCGGCTTCCCGGGGAGCGTGGAGAACGGGGACGTCCTGCTCTGCGGTGACTCGGGCCGCGTGGTGTATTCCTGCCGCCACGGGTTCCGGCTCCAGGGGCCTGCGCAGCTCACCTGCTCCCCCCAGGGCTGGGACTTCCCGCCGCCTGTTTGTGAAGGTCAGTCACCAAACAGGGGTTTTTGAATGGCTGTCCCCCCCATCTGCATTTTCAAATATGAATTGGAAATAAATGTCCTTCACCAAGAGGTGCTTCTGAGCAGTATCTTCCCAGGAGCTGTTTTGACTTGGAAATCAAGTATTTGCTCCTTAGCTGACCATGTCCCCAGGTTGACACCTGTCTTGGTAATGAGGCACCAAGATGGTCACATCAGACGCGCCCGGCGGGTGACGTGGGCAGGTTGACGTGAAGAGGCTGTGGAACCCATTTCTCTAAAGAAACAAAACAAGTGTTTCAGCAGATGAGCCAGGGACTAGGAGCACCCCACCAGGCGCTGGCCTGCCCGGGCACCCACACAGTGCCCGATGGAAAGGAGAGACGAGCAAATGTTCATACGGAGCCTCTTTGGGGCGCATCCACCTCGTGACCCAGCCGGAAAAGAAGCTGGGTGTCTGCAGCTCTGGTCTGCCCACCGCCGAGAGGTTGTTACCGAGTGGACACGACCCAGCTCCTCTGCCATCTGGGGGAGAGATTTCACTCAGGACAGATGTGCTGGGGGACAGGACCCTGCAGGGCTGTGCGCCGGCCGGGGTCCCCCCTGCAGACGGACTGGAGCCCGGAGACACGAAGGCCTGGACGGCTTCCCCTCCTTCATGAGGAGCATGGTCACCGCGGGCGGGTCTGTCCGGATCCTCCTTGTCACCACGGGGCCCAGAGACCCGCCTTCACCATCCCTGACTTGGGCTTCTGATGAGAAGACACTGACCACAGCTGGAGTGAAATGGGGTGAATTGTGTCCCCCTAAAACTCTATGTCGAAGCCCCCCAGTATCACAGCATGTGATCCTGTAGAAAATAGGGTCTTTGCAGATGACATCAAGGTAAAATGAGGCCATCAGGTGAGCCCTGATCTGAGAGAGGAGACCCAGCGGGGACGGGTCGGAGAGAGGCAGCCGCAATCCAGGGGGCGCCGAGGTGACCAGCCGCCACCAGCAGCCGGACGAGGCCAGGAGGGACCCCGCGCTCTGGGAGCCAGAGTGGCCTGGACCTCTGCCCTCCATGCTGTTGGCAGCTGGTCTGTGGCACTTGCCAAGGCAGCCATGAGGGCCTCTGCGTGGGGCCTGGCAGGGGACCCCGTGAGGGGAGGGCTACGGAAGGGGTGGGGCCTGGACGGGGTGTGCGTGGTGGCCGACGGCCCACAGCCGGACAGCCTGCCCCATGCCCACCACCCCACATCCCCTGGGGTGGTCGCAACTTCCAGGGACAGCGGCTTGGATTTCACGCTGTGGTGACAAGCCCAGCGGGACCTGCTCATCCCCACTGGCTCCTCCTCGTATGTGTTGTGGGCACAGACGGGGCCTCACGTGGACAACGATGACCATGAACACAGCTCCGATCCTCTCGGCACTGAGCTCGGGCCAGCGGCTCCCGTCCCTGGGAAGCTGACCACTCTCGCTAGTCCTGATGCTGTGGTCAGAGCCTCACCCGACGTCAGTACTCGTGACGATACGGCGCCTGCCGGGTCTCCTCGCCCGCCGGGGCGCTTAGGGCCACCCCGTCCCCCGTGCCCCGTGGGGAACTGTCAGCAGGGGGAGCGTTAGCTCCAGAGGGTCAGCAGGATGGGGGCCGGGCTGGTGTGGCTGGAGAGTGGCCGTGGCTGGAGCCGACCCCTGAGAGGCTGGGGCCAGTCTCCTCGGAGGATCCGAATCAGAGGAGGGACCTCTGGGGTCCCCGGGTTGTCAGCAATGGAGGAAGCTGTCCTCCTGGATGGAGCCAGAGCGGGGCAGCTGGCCCCATGGGAAGGGGTGCACCGGAGGACACGGGCCCAGGTAGGGGGCTCTGACCTCTGTACTCTCTGTGCAGATGTGGACGAGTGTGAAGGGGTCGAGGAGCCTCCCTGCCACGTGTCGGCCCGGTGCCGGAACACCGAGGGCGGCTTCCTGTGTGAGTGCAGCGACCCTTACGTGGCCGGAGAGGACAGGAGGACCTGCGTAGGTGAGACCCACCCCTCGTGCCGGCCAGGGGTCGCATTTTGGGGTGACGGAAGGTCACCTTCTAGCTCTGCTGGAGCGGTGACGTCTGTCCACCTGCTGGTGGCGTCTGTGTGTCCATCTGACAGAGCGGCTGACTTTGTTGAGACCGTTGGTGGTCTCACGCCCCAGTGAACTGAGCACGTCTAGTCTCACGTACAGAACAGACGTTACGTGACTTGCTCAGGGTCATACAGCCGCTCAGCCACAGATCAGGATTCATAACTGGACCTCTAGCTCCCGTAAAAAACGGCGTAGATCTTGTTAGAACAGAAAGACAGGTCTTAGCCACACGACTGCAGTGAGGGGGGACCTCTGCCCAGAACTGAGCTTAATCCAGCCCATGCAGCGGGGCTCACGGCCCGCGGGCGAGCGAGGGCGTCCATGGGAGGAGACGCAGCAGAGCGCGGGCCCAGCAGACAGTGCTCGGAGGAGCCTGACCTCACTGAGCCCTCGCTGAGCGCCGGGCTCACCGTCCAAGCATCGCCCACTCGATCCCAAGGCTCGTGGTGTGTGCCGCGCACAGAATCGGGGTCCAGTGAGCAGCAGGCCTCAGATGGGCCCTCGCGGCTTCTGTACCTGCTTGGCCAGCGATGCCGTCAACACATCTGGAATGAGCACCCACGGAAGAGCCCGTGGCAAACGGGCACCCAGGGGCCCCGGGCCACGCCCGCTGCCCCACAGCCCTTCCCCGCGTGGACAGTGACACCGAGCACGACGGAGCAGGAGGACTGGCCCATGTTTCCTGATGGTCTGGGGGCCGGTGTCCGTGGCCAGTGCAGAAGCTTCCTAAGGGCCCATGGCCAGTCCCAGGACCCGCTCCGGTGGCCTCTGGCCTCTGCCTCGCGCCGTCCAGCTGAGACCATTTCGCTCTGATTTCTGCCAACTACGCTGTCTCTCTCTGGAATGAACACTCCAGCTCGTAGCTGGGAGACCTGCCATCCGGCCCCCCACTGCCCCCCAAGCTCTAACCTGCCCCCACGGATGGAGATGGCACCTTCCTGCCCTGTTTACCCTCCACCTGGTCTGCAGAGGCACCAAGGGTGTGGCTCCTGGTCACCTGGCTCTTCCTCCCCTTGGCTCCCCAGTCACAGCCCGCTGTGCGCCCACCTCTCAGGGTGCCCAGCGTGTCTGCACTGGGGTCACAGCGCCCCCAGGTTGGGAGGAAGAGTGTTTGCTGTCCTAGCAGGGGAGGCCAACATGTCCCCTCTGTCCTGTGAGCCTCCCCTCACCCCAACTCAGGGGCCTTGTCTGCTGGGGGCGGGTCCTGCTGGCAGACACGGGGGTCAGCCCAGCACGGATCATGGTGGGCTCGAGATCCGGGTCAGGCTCAGGCTCAGGCTCGGGGTCAGGGTCAGGGTCAGGCTCAGGGTCAGGCTCAGGGTCAGGGTCAGGGTCAGGCTCAGGGTCAGGGTCAGGGTCAGGCTCAGGCTCGGGCTCAGGGTCAGGGTCAGGGTCAGGCTCAGGCTCAGGCTCGGGCTCAGGGTCAGGGTCAGGGTCAGGCTCAGGGTCAGGGTCAGGGTCAGGCTCGGGCTCAGGCTCAGGCTCAGGGTCAGGCTCAGGGTCAGGCTCAGGCTCGGGCTCAGGGTCAGGGTCAGGGTCAGGCTCAGGCTCAGGCTCGGGCTCAGGGTCAGGGTCAGGGTCAGGCTCAGGCTCGGGCTCAGGGTCAGGGTCAGGGTCAGGCTCAGGCTCAGGCTCGGGCTCAGGGTCAGGGTCAGGGTCAGGCTCAGGCTCAGGCTCGGGCTCAGGGTCAGGGTCAGGGTCAGGCTCAGGCTCAGGCTCGGGCTCAGGGTCAGGGTCAGGGTCAGGCTCAGGCTCAGGCTCGGGCTCAGGGTCAGGGTCAGGGTCAGGCTCAGGCTCAGGCTCGGGCTCAGGGTCAGGGTCAGGGTCAGGCTCAGGGTCAGGGTCAGGGTCAGGCTCGGGCTCAGGGTCAGGCTCAGGGTCAGGGTCAGGCTCGGGGCTCAGGCTCAGGCTCAGGGTCAGGCTCAGGGTCAGGCTCAGGGTCAGGCTCGGGCTCAGGGTCAGGCTCAGGGTCAGGGTCAGGCTCGGGCTCAGGGTCAGGCTCAGGGTCAGGGTCAGGCTCGGGCTCAGGCTCAGGCTCAGGGTCAGGCTCAGGGTCAGGCTCAGGGTCAGGCTCGGGCTCAGGGTCAGGCTCAGGCTCAGGGTCAGGCTCGGGCTCAGGGTCAGGCTCAGGCTCAGGCTCAGGCTCGGGCTCAGGGTCAGGCTCAGGGTCAGGGTCAGGCTCGGGCTCAGGCTCAGGCTCAGGGTCAGGCTCAGGGTCAGGCTCAGGCTCAGGCTCGGGCTCAGGGTCAGGCTCAGGGTCAGGGTCAGGCTCGGGCTCAGGCTCAGGCTCAGGGTCAGGCTCGGGCTCAGGGTCAGGCTCAGGGTCAGGGTCAGGCTCGGGCTCAGGCTCAGGCTCAGGGTCAGGCTCAGGGTCAGGGTCAGGGTCAGGCTCGGGCTCAGGGTCAGGCTCAGGCTCAGGCTCAGGCTCAGGGTCAGGCTCAGGGTCAGGCTCAGGGTCAGGCTCAGGGTCAGGGTCAGGCTCGGGCTCAGGCTCAGGCTCAGGCTCAGGGTCAGGCTCAGGGTCAGGCTCAGGGTCAGGGTCAGGCTCAGGCTCAGGCTCAGCCTCGGGCTCAGGGTCAGGCTCAGGCTCAGGCTCAGGCTCAGGCTCAGGGTCAGGCTCAGGGTCAGGCTCAGGGTCAGGGTCAGGCTCAGGGTCAGGCTCAGGCTCAGGCTCAGGCTCGGGCTCAGGGTCAGGCTCAGGGTCAGGGTCAGGCTCGGGCTCAGGCTCGGGCTCAGGGTCAGGCTCAGGCTCAGGCTCAGGCTCAGGGTCAGGCTCAGGGTCAGGCTCAGGCTCAGGCTCGGGCTCAGGGTCAGGCTCAGGGTCAGGGTCAGGCTCGGGCTCAGGGTCAGGCTCAGGCTCAGGCTCAGGCTCAGGCTCGGGCTCAGGGTCAGGCTCAGGGTCAGGGTCAGGCTCAGGGTCAGGCTCAGGGTCAGGCTCAGGGTCAGGCTCAGGCTCAGGCTCGGGCTCAGGGTCAGGCTCAGGGTCAGGCTCAGGCTCGGGCTCAGGGTCAGGCTCAGGGTCAGGCTCAGGCTCAGGCTCGGGCTCAGGGTCAGGCTCAGGGTCAGGGTCAGGCTCGGGCTCAGGGTCAGGCTCAGGCTCAGGCTCAGGCTCAGGCTCAGGCTCGGGCTCAGGGTCAGGCTCAGGGTCAGGGTCAGGCTCAGGCTCAGGCTCGGGCTCAGGGTCAGGCTCAGGCTCAGGCTCAGGGTCAGGCTCAGGGTCAGGCTCAGGGTCAGGGTCAGGCTCGGGCTCAGGCTCGGGCTCAGGGTCAGGCTCAGGCTCAGGCTCAGGCTCAGGCTCAGGCTCAGGGTTCAGGGTCAGTCTCGGATCAGGGTCAGGCTCAGGCTCAGGCTCAGGCTCAGGGTCAGGCTCAGGGTCAGGCTCAGGGTCAGGCTCAGGCTCGGGCTCAGGCTCAGGCTCAGGCTCAGGGTCAGGCTCAGGGTCAGGCTCAGGCTCAGGCTCAGGCTCGGGCTCAGGGTCAGGCTCAGGGTCAGGGTCAGGGTCAGGCTCAGGGTCAGGCTCAGGGTCAGGGTCAGGCTCAGGGTCAGGCTCAGGGTCAGGCTCAGGCTCGGGCTCAGGGTCAGGCTCAGGGTCAGGGTCAGGCTCGGGCTCAGGCTCGGGCTCAGGGTCAGGGTCAGGCTCAGGGTCAGGCTCAGGCTCGGGCTCAGGGTCAGGCTCAGGGCAGGTCAGGGTCAGGTCAGGTCAGGCTCAGGGTCAGGTCAGGCTCAGGGTCCGGCTCAGGGTCAGGCTCAGGCTCGGCTCAGGGTCGGCTAGGGTCAGGTCAGGCTCAGGAGCTCAGGGTCAGGCTCGGGCTCAGGCTCGGGCTCAGGGTCAGGGTCAGGGTCAGGGTCAGGCTCAGGGTCAGGGTCAGGGTCAGGCTCAGGCTCAGGCTCGGGCTCAGGGTCAGGGTCAGGCTCAGGCTCAGGCTCAGGCTCTGGGTCAGGCTCAGGGTCAGGGTCAGGCTCGGGCTCAGGGTCAGGGTCAGGCTCAGGCTCAGGCTCAGGCTCAGGCTCAGGGTCAGGCTCAGGGTCAGGCTCAGGCTCGGGCTCAGGGTCAGGCTCAGGGTCAGGCTCAGGCTCGGGCTCAGGCTCGGGCTCAGGGTCAGGCTCAGGGTCAGGGTCAGGCTCGGGCTCAGGGTCAGGGTCAGGCTCAGGCTCAGGCTCAGGCTCAGGCTCAGGGTCAGGCTCAGGGTCAGGCTCAGGCTCGGGCTCAGGGTCAGGCTCAGGGTCAGGGTCAGGCTCGGGCTCAGGCTCGGGCTCAGGGTCAGGCTCAGGGTCAGGGTCAGGCTCGGGCTCAGGGTCAGGGTCAGGCTCAGGCTCAGGCTCAGGCTCAGGCTCAGGGTCAGGCTCAGGGTCAGGCTCAGGCTCGGGCTCAGGGTCAGGCTCAGGGTCAGGGTCAGGCTCGGGCTCAGGGTCGGGCTCGGGCTCAGGGTCAGGCTCAGGGTCAGGCTCAGGGTCAGGGTCAGGCTCAGGCTCAGGCTCAGGCTCAGGCTCAGGGTCAGGCTCAGGGTCAGGCTCAGGGTCAGGGTCAGGCTCGGGCTCAGGGTCAGGCTCAGGCTCAGGCTCAGGCTCGGGCTCAGGGTCAGGCTCAGGGTCAGGGTCAGGCTCGGGCTCAGGGTCAGGGTCAGGCTCAGGCTCAGGCTCAGGGTCAGGCTCAGGGTCAGGCTCAGGCTCGGGCTCAGGGTCAGGCTCAGGGTCAGGGTCAGGCTCGGGCTCAGGGTCGGGCTCGGGCTCAGGGTCAGGCTCAGGGTCAGGGTCAGGCTCGGGCTCAGGGTCAGGGTCAGGCTCAGGCTCAGGCTCAGGCTCAGGCTCAGGGTCAGGCTCAGGGTCAGGCTCAGGGTCAGGGTCAGGCTCGGGCTCAGGGTCAGGCTCAGGCTCAGGCTCAGGCTCGGGCTCAGGGTCAGGCTCAGGGTCAGGGTCAGGCTCGGGCTCAGGGTCAGGGTCAGGGTCAGGCTCGGGCTCAGGGTCAGGCTCGGGCTCAGGGTCAGGCTCAGGGTCAGGGTCAGGCTCGGGCTCAGGGTCAGGCTCAGGGTCAGGGTCAGGCTCGGGCTCAGGGTCAGGCTCAGGGTCGGGCTCAGGCTCAGGCTCGGGCTCAGGGTCAGGCTCAGGGTCAGGGTCAGGCTCGGGCTCAGGGTCAGGCTCAGGCTCAGGCTCAGGCTCGGGCTCAGGGTCAGGCTCAGGGTCAGGGTCAGGCTCGGGCTCAGGGTCAGGGTCAGGCTCGGGCTCAGGGTCAGGCTCGGGCTCAGGGTCAGGGTCAGGCTCGGGCTCAGGCTCAGGCTCGGGCTCAGGCTCAGGCTCGGGCTCAGGGTCAGGCTCAGGCTCAGGCTCAGGCTCGGGCTCAGGGTCAGGCTCAGGGTCAGGGTCAGGCTCGGGCTCAGGGTCAGGGTCAGGCTCGGGCTCAGGGTCAGGCTCAGGGTCAGGCTCAGGCTCGGGCTCAGGCTCAGGCTCGGGCTCAGGGTCAGGCTCGGGCTCAGGCTCAGGCTCAGGCTCAGGCTCGGGCTCAGGGTCAGGCTCAGGGTCAGGGTCAGGCTCGGGCTCAGGGTCAGGGTCAGGCTCAGGCTCAGGCTCAGAGTCAGGCTCAGGGTCAGGGTCAGGCTCGGGCTCAGGGTCAGGCTCAGGGTCAGGCTCAGGCTCAGGCTCAGAGTCAGGCTCGGGCTCAGGCTCAGGCTCAGGCTCAGGCTCAGGGTCAGGCTCAGGGTCAGGCTCGGGCTCAGGGTCAGGCTCAGGCTCAGGCTCAGGCTCGGGCTCAGGGTCAGGCTCAGGGTCAGGGTCAGGCTCGGGCTCAGGGTCAGGGTCAGGCTCAGGCTCAGGCTCAGGCTCAGGCTCGGGCTCAGGGTCAGGGTCAGGCTCAGGCTCGGGCTCAGGGTCAGGCTCAGGCTCAGGCTCAGGCTCGGGCTCAGGGTCAGGCTCAGGGTCAGGGTCAGGCTCGGGCTCAGGGTCAGGGTCAGGCTCGGGCTCAGGGTCAGGCTCGGGCTCAGGGTCAGGCTCAGGGTCAGGGTCAGGCTCGGGCTCAGGGTCAGGGTCAGGCTCGGGCTCAGGGTCAGGCTCGGGCTCAGGCTCGGGCTCAGGGTCAGGCTCGGGCTCAGGGTCAGGCTCAGGCTCGGGCTCAGGGTCAGGCTCGGGCTCAGGGTCAGGGTCAGGCTCGGGCTCAGGCTCGGGCTCAGGGTCAGGCTCGGGCTCAGGGTCAGGGTCAGGCTCGGGCTCAGGGTCAGGCTCGAGCTCAGGGCTCAGGCTCAGGCTCAGCCTCGGGCTCAGGGTCGGGCTCAGGCTCGGGCTCAGGGTCAGGCTCAGGGTCAGGGTCAGGGTCAGGCTCGGGCTCAGGGTCAGGCTCGAGCTCAGGGCTCAGGCTCAGGCTCAGCCTCGGGCTCAGGGTCGGGCTCAGGCTCGGGCTCAGGGTCAGGCTCAGGGTCAGGGTCAGGGTCAGGCTCGAGCTCAGGGCTCAGGCTCAGGCTCAGGCTCGGGCTCAGGGTCGGGCTCAGGCTCGGGCTCAGGGTCAGGCTCAGGGCTCAGGCTCGGGCTCAGGGTCGGGCTCAGGCTCGGGCTCAGGCTCAGGCTCGGGCTCAGGGTCAGGCTCAGGGTCAGGGTCAGGCTCAGGCTCAGGCTCGGGCTCAGGCTCGGGCTCAGGCTCAGGCTCGGGCTCAGGCTCGGGCTCAGGCTCAGGCTCGGGCTCAGGTTCGGGCTCAGGGTCGGGCTCGGGCTCAGGGTCGGGTTCGGGCTCAAGCTCAGGCTCAGGCTCTGGGCTGGGCTCGGGCTCGAGCACTAACCGGCTCATTCTCTCCAGACTCGGGGAGGCTCCCTAAGGCGTCTCTGGTGTCCATCGTGCTGGGCGCACTGCTGATCTGCAGCCTGGCGGCTTTCACCTGGACGGTGATTTGCAGGTGGTGAGTCCCCATCTCCAGGTGACAGGAGCCCACTGCTCCCTGTGGGGTTGGTAGTGACACTGCTGTTCTCCGTGTCCCCGTCCCCTTCGAGCATTGGGGACCTCTGGGCGGAGAAGGAGATCCCGGGAGGAGGCAGAGGGAACATTCTCCTAGGCTCCCGTGTGCCTCAGAAGGACAGGAGTGGCCTTTATCTCCTGTGGCGTTAGTCCAGCCAGGTTTGAATTCTTAAAACAGTCAACGAAGCAACTGGTGGTCCGAGCTTGATGGCCACAAATGTACATACACCCTGAACCCAGCGAGAGAAAGATTTGCCTCAGAGGTAAATGCTCAAATCTGCTCCAAGGAATCAACAGAGAAATGCAGGTCAAGGAGAGAGACAGGCTCACACGCCCTCCCGTGAGTTCACATGCTCACATCCACTCACACACATTCACACGCTCACACATTCACACGCACACATTCACACGCTCACACATTCACACACACATTCACACGCTCACACATTCACACGCACACATTCACACGCTCACACATTCACACACATTCACATGCTGACACATTCACTCACATATTCACACACACATTCACTCACACACATTCACACGCACACACATTCACACGCACACACATTCACATGCACACACATTCACACGCTCACACATTCACGCACACACATTCACACGCACACACATTCACACACATTCACATGCTGACACATTCACTCACATATTCACACACACATTCACTCACACACATTCACACGCACACACATTCACACGCACACACATTCACACACATTCACATGCTGACACATTCACTCACATATTCACACACACATTCACTCACACACATTCACACGCACACACATTCACACGCACACACATTCACATGCACACACATTCACACGCTCACACATTCACGCACACACATTCACACGCTCACACATTCACACACACATTCACACGCTCACACATTCACACGCACACACATTCACACGCACACATTCACACGCTCACACATTCACACACATTCACATGCTGACACATTCACTCACATATTCACACACACATTCACTCACACACATTCACACGCACACACATTCACACGCACACACATTCACACACATTCACATGCTGACACATTCACTCACATATTCACACACACATTCACTCACACACATTCACACGCACACACATTCACACGCACACACATTCACATGCACACACATTCACACGCTCACACATTCACGCACACACATTCACACGCTCACACATTCACACACACATTCACACGCTCACACATTCACACGCACACATTCACACGCTCACACATTCACACACATTCACATGCTGACACATTCACTCACATATTCACACACACATTCACTCACACACATTCACACGCACACACATTCACACGCACACACATTCACACGCACACATTCACACGCTCACACATTCACACACATTCACATGCTGACACATTCACTCACATATTCACACACACATTCACTCACACACATTCACACGCACACACATTCACACGCACACACATTCACATGCACACACATTCACACGCTCACACATTCACGCACACACATTCACACGCTCACACATTCACACACACATTCACACGCTCACACATTCACACGCACACATTCACACGCTCACACATTCACACACATTCACATGCTGACACATTCACTCACATATTCACACACACATTCACTCACACACATTCACACGCACACACATTCACACGCACACACATTCACATGCACACACATTCACACGCTCACACATTCACACGCACACATCCACATGCTCACATTCACTCACATATTCACACACACATTCACTTACATTCACACGCACACATTCACTCACACACATTCACACACATTCACTTACACACATTTACACGCACACATTCATACCCTCACGCATTCACATGCACACATTCACTCACACACATTTACACCCTCACACACATGATCACATGTGTGCACACACACGCTCACACAGACATGCACACTCATATGCACACTCACACTGTTGCACACGCACATACACACACATTCAGACACACATGCTCACACACACACTCATAGTCCTGCTCTCAGCTGACTCCCATCGACTAATGGAAGTGAACTTGTAAATTGATGTAATTTTGCACGTCTGGTTCTGTGTGTGCAAGTACCATGTGCACTGTCACTAAAGCCTTGTTAACATTTTGTATTGACAACTTCCTGAGTCAGGTCTGTGTTAGGTAGCGGCGCCTCCTGGGACGGGGCCACTTGCATTCTGGCGGCGGTGACGCGGGGTCAGGAGACATGTTGAGCCCTGCTCTGCAGGAGATCTCATTGGCCGACCTGGGCAGGAAGGCCTTTCTGCAGAGCCCCGGAGGGGGGACTGAGGCTCAGAAAGGCCCTGCCAGCTCCGGCGGCCAAGTGCCCCAGACGGCGGGGACAGCCACCCAGAGCCCAGTCTGCAGACGGCGCAGCCTCTGCCGGGATGGGGTGGGTGACCAGGTACCAGGTCAGCTCAGGACGGTCGGCCCGCACACGCAGTGCCCCTGGCTGGACAGGTCTCAGGATCACCCAGACATGGCTCGGGGCTGGAGTGGGAAGGTCACAGTGAGGCAGGGTGAGGTCCAGGGGGAGCCCCCTCGGGGGCCTCGGGGAGCAAGCTGCCCCCTGTAACATGCCCGCACTCTAACCACTGAGCCACACCGGCCGGGCTCTTTCTTCCTGTTTAACACCGTGTCTGTCTGTCTAGTTCCTCCAACACATGCTTTCTGCTACCGTCTGTGTGTTGTTTTCATTTTCATTTGTGTCAACATCTTAAATTTCCCTTTGAACCCTTTGACCCGGGAGTTGTTCAAGGGTGTGCTGCTTTTAGTGGCGTGGGGGTGCTCACTCCGTGGGGCACAAGGCAGCCCTGAAATCCAGCAGGGAAGGAGCCTCTGGCCGTGCTTCTGAGACACCTGAGCGCGAAATGCACCCAAGGCAGAGCCGGGCGGGGACACGCACACCCACCGTGGATGTCGGGGGTGGGCCTGTGCCCCGAGTTCCTCTGGCCTCACCACCGCGGTGGGTTCAGGGATGCGTTTCTCTCCTGAAGAACCCCGCTTGGGCCAGCAGGATGGGCCGCGTGTGGCTGTGGGGCGGCCGGTTCTGGGCTGCGGCAGGGTTTCCGATCACTCGCCCCACCTCCCACGGCGGACAGTGAGGGCCTCACATTAACTTGCTTAAGTCATACCCCGCGGGGATGTTCTGAACAGAGGCCCGAGCCCGCCGGCTGCTTCCCTGACACGATCCTCTTCAGCCTCGGTCACCGTGACACACACCTGTGACGGCACGCGTGGGTTCTTCCGAGACGCCAGTGACGACCGGGCGTGTCTTGTCCACAGGACACACTGCGACTCTCAGTCCTCGCTGCCGGTCGCAGAGAGAGGTGGGAAGGCAGCCTCGCCGTCGGGCCGTGGGAGGTGCCAGGACCCGAGCGCTGCTCTGCGCGGAGTCCCCGCCCCGGGCTCGGAGCAGGTGGGCTGCGTCTCCTCCCTCCCAGGTTCCAGGCAGGTGTTTCTGGAGACCCAGGGGTGCCTCGGCCCCTCTGAGCGTCTGCTTTCTGCCGGTCCCCACCCTTCGCTGCGTCCTGCTGTCTGCTTCCTCCCTCCCAGCTGCGCCTGCGAGGGGAGGAGTCGCCACCCTTCTGACTCCGTTAGTGTGGACGGATCAGCGTCCGTGGGCCAGAGGGAAAGGCTTGGGGACGCCCTGTGACCAGGAACCGGTGCCCCTCTGAGGGCGCGGGGACACCTGCTCCAGCGTCGTCTCGAGGTGGCTGCAGACGGGCAGGCAGCGACCTGGACGCTGAGAGACAATGTTGGCTTCTATCAGAAATGAGATCATTGTGTTCAGGGGGAAAATCGGTCTAAACTTACCTTTCACCATTTTTTACCTTCTGGACAAGACCCTGAGTGATGTTACTTTAGAAAGTCACTCCCAGACACCCAGGGCCTGTCCGAATGTAAGCGACCGGCCGACCCCATGACGGCAGACCCAAGGGCCCCGTCCTGGGAGACGCTGTCTGCAGAGCGGATCAGCGTTGGCAGCAGCCACCAGAGTGAACCGGGAACACCCCACGGGATCCCAGGGCCCAGGCTCGGTGTCCGCTGGTCCCTGGGCTCAGCTCCCTCTCTCCCCCAGGACCCGGCCTGTGGATCCCAGATCCTTCTCTGTGGGTAGGAAGCCGCCACCCACCCCGCGGACGCTCGGCTCGGCCAGTGCGGCTCCCAGCTGGTCTGAGCACGGCCATGCGGAGCCGGTGCCGTCTGTTCGAGATGATGAGGGAAGATGCTTGATCTCAACATGGTCTGTGTTTACTGAACAGCACCACTCCGGGCATCATCGAGCGTGAGGTGCTGAAGAGTCCAGGTCACAGGTCATTCACGAGCATTTTGCATTTCGTGGGCGGTGACCCGACGGAGTGACCCGACACTTGCCTACTTCAAATGCCCGATCAGGACAAATTGACGGGCGGTCAGCACTTCAACAGTCGTGTCCACATCACTGCGGAGACTGTCCACGTGCAGGCGAAGTCGGCCTGTGTAGCTGGACGGCTCCAGTGCATGAGCAGCCTACCCCTCAGGGGCCCCGCACCGTAGGGAGCCTGCCTGCTCTCCTCCGGGGCTCCCCTGAGTCTCACACACACTCGTAAACCTTCCCTCCCAGACTCTCAAACGGGGAGGTGTTTTCCCACGATGCTCATGTTTCCCTTTACCTCCAGTTTCAGTTTGGTCCCATGTCCGGCACCCCCGCCCCCAGTCTCCTGCCCGTCGGACCAGTTTCTCCGCGCAGTTTCGGGCAGAGCTGGTGGCCCTGAGCCTGCACACGGAGCGTCCCTCGCCCAGCACAGTGCGCCCTCCTGCACAAAGACCAGGCACAGCACGCGTGTCCGCCCTGGAACCCGCCGGACTCCCGGACGGCGATTCGCAGCCGGAACT